AAGAGAAGATCGCCTGGCATGGCAATCAGCCTGCTCCCAGAACTGGGTCAGACAGTGAAACCTAACCAAGAATTATGATCTTCCAGAAACCACATAGATCCTGTCTAGATACAAATGCATGAAGTCTACGACTTGAGATCAGACAGGAAGAACATCCCAGTTCAGGTCTGCCTTAAGAATACTGGTATCCTTTATAGAACCTACTCCCTCTATGGTTCTAGGGTTGGGTTCCACTCCGCAAACAAGACTTTACAGACTAGGAAAACACCAAACTGAGACTCTGCATGAGGGATTCTTAGAATATAGTCTCCACATCCAACTGAAGAGAAGTGACCCTGAAAGAAACCCTCACCTACACACAGACCCCCTCAGCCAGCGGGTTCTGGGCCCCTGTTAGACTAAAGCTATTATTTATAGAAACAAGAAGAAATAATCAAACAGCAGAGCAGACTGGGATGTTCTTCAGCCTTAACAAAAAGCAGGTCACTGTACCGGAGAAGAGAAGCAGCTGTTTCAGTGAATCCTGTCTGGGCCAGAGATTAACACATTAAAAAAAAAAGCTCTGAGCAGAGACTGAACACCACGCTCAGGTGGAGCTGTCACTGTAACTGTGACACACTGAGCATCAAACAATTACCCCTAACAGAAAAAATCTCTCTGGAGACTCTATGATGGGCTTGACATGTCTGCTCCTGTCCACAGGTCTGAAGGCCCCCACGGCCTCCACCCACAAGACGACAGCTGCCAGTCAGGCAGCGGGGAGGACAGTGTCCTCTCCTGTCAGGGGCTGACCAAGCCGACGTCCGTTTTCCCTTACAAAGGAGCGGCTCAGCCAGACTCAGCCGACTGAACAGTGCCGGTTACAGGGTGTGTGTGTGTTGTGTGTGCGCTCTCTGTCCTTGTGTTCTATTTGTGTGACGTAGTATGCAAGCTGCTGTTGATTTCACAGGTTCACAGCATCATCTCAGAGAGCTTTAAGAGATACTCTTCCAGGTTCAGAGGAGGCAGAGTCTCTGCTAAAACACTTACAGAGGAGACTGGGAAACAGCTTCAGGTACTTTCATTCATGGTGCTCCCACACACTGACACAGCAGCAGACCTTCACACAAACATCTCTCCACCAACACACAAAGTGAGAACACAAGACAGAGAGCGCACACACACACACACACACCTGTACCGGCACTGTTCAGTCGGCTGAGTCTGGCTGAGCCGCTCCTTTGTAAGGGAAACTGGGACGTCGGCTTGGTCAGCCCCTGACAGGCAGAGGACACTGTCCTCCCCGCTGCCTGACTGGCAGCTGTCGTCTTGTGGGTGGAGGCCGTGGGGGCCTTCAGACCTGTGGACAGGAGCAGGACATGTCAAAGCCCATCATAGAGTCTCCAGAGGATTTTTTCTGTTAGGGGTAATTGTTGATGCTCAGTGTGTCACAGTTACAGTGACAGCTCCACCTGAGCGTGGTGTTCAGTCTCTGCTCAGAGCTTTTTTTTTTTAATGTGTTAATCTCTGGCCCAGACAGGATTCACTGAAACAGCTGCTTCTCTTCTCCGGTGCAGGTGACCTGCTTTTTGTTTAGGGCTGAAGAACATCCCAGTCTGCTCTGCTGTTTGATTATTTCTTCTTGTTTTCTTATAATGAGCTTTAGTCTAACAGGGGCCCCAGAACCCGCTGGCTGAGGGGGTCTGTGTGTAGGTGAGGGTTTCTTTCAGGGTCACTTTCTCTTCAGTTGGATGTGGAGACTATATTCTAAGAATCCCTCATGCAGAGTCTCAGTTTGGTGTTTTCCTAGTCTGTAAAGTCTTGTTTGCGGAGTGGAACCCAACCCTAAGAACCATAGAGGGAGTAGGTTCTATAAAGGAGTCCAGTATCTTAAGGCAGACCTGAACTGGGATGTTCTTCCTGTCTGATCTCAAGGTCGTAGACTGTCATGCATTTGTATCTAGACAGGATCTATGTGGTTTCTGGAAGATCATAATTTTTGGTTAGGTTCACTGTCTGGACCCAGTTCTGGGAGACAGGCTGATGCCATGCCAGGCGCTGGAGACCAGACTCACCAGATAATGGAAGTCTGTGTTGGAGAGGGTTGGACTGGATCTGCTTCCTCGTTAACAGTCGCTGCAGTCTGTTGTACTATATGTCTTATTATTTTCAGAGGGCGTTTGTTGTTGAGTCTGTGGTTTACAGTACGACCAACTGAAAGCCTTTAAATAAATATCATCTGACTCTCAACACTGACTGAAAACAGGTTAACAGGTCTGTCGCCTCCTCTCTAGTTTGGCGTGGAGGATCCAGGTGACACACAGACTCACCTGTAGCAGTGGTCCTGGCCTGCAGAGACAGAGCTCTGGTCCTCATGACAGGAAGCTTTAAAGCAGCAGTGTCACTGGGAGTGTTGGTGCTGGAGCTGGGGGGCTTTGTTGCACTCTGGCTGCCCACAGGACACATGCCTCTGCTGGGACGCTCATCTGGCCTGGTCCCTGTGGATGCTGGAGCTCCTGCAGGAACTGGAGAAGCTGAAAGAAGATACAGGAGACGGTGAAACATCAAGAATGATTTGTGCAGTTAGAAGAGCAGGGTCAGCTTCTTATTTAATGTTGTGAATCCTATAAATAATAACATGATATATATAATGAAACAGTATTCAGAGATTTCTATGTAACCACGAGACTCTGGTCACACAGTGTGCTACTGTATTCTCCACTGATAACAAAAGTAATTATAATAATGTGAAGTCAGATCAAAATGTGTTGATATCCTTCATTATCAGTTAATAGATAGTCACAGTTGGATCAGAGGTTGACTGATTATTGATTATTATTTTCTAAATCTTCATCACTAATGACAGAAGACATGAATCTGTGTGGACGTGTACGACACTGATGCTCTCTCACAGAACTAAATACAGACCCTCATTATTACCATGGGAACCAGGAACCTCAAGTGTAATCTGGTTGCCATAACAACCCAGTGATGTGTGAGTGAAAACCTGTGGATCAGTTTTCACTACATCTCAATAAAATCAGGATCCAAGTACTGTCTAAATCGGCGCACAGATGAAGTCCAGCCTTCGCAGGAGAGCAGCTCCACCAGCATCGTTTTTGTTTGCTTGTAGTTTTTTCCTCTGAGATGGAGATTGCCGCCGCGGGCACCTGCCAGAGTATCAGCGTTAGCACCACAGCCACAGAGGAGTCTGCCGCTAACAGGTGTCAGGCTAGGACTGACTTGGTGGCATTTGAGGAGCCTCTCCAGCCACCCAGCTTCAATTTTAACCCTAACCCTGGCACAAACAAGTCTCAGTCGAAGATCTGGCTCAACAGTCAGTTTATTTCTATATTTAGTTTTTAATGCCACAAGCGCAGAACATCCCGTCTCACAGAGGTATGTTGTTGGGAAAGGCATTAGAAATCCCACACAGCTCTGTCGGACAGATCGGGACACTCAGAAGCAACATGAAGCCAGATGTTTGTCAGGTACTTCTGTCAATATAATAATCAGTTTCAATGTGGTGCCGCGATAACCAGTTTCAATACTTTTCTTTCTGCGCTCAGGGTTGCAAGGCCCTTGTCACTGTGTCAAGTGAATGGGTTTTCTATCCAACAGTAATGCACATCTGGGGTGGGAAAGTATTCGCATCGTCTTCAAACCTTGCAGTTGCTGTTTGATAGCTTTGGTCACAGTGATGGGAAGCTGAATCTGTTCCTTTGTCACAAAATCTAACGGTCGCTTCGACTTTATTCTGGACATTGAACATGTTCACTGCTGTTCCCTGGAGGCTGAGGTTGAGTCCATTTCAATGACTAAAAATATCGGCCAGGTAACCCAATGTGTCCAACTACTCAAAATCACTGAAGCGATGAGCCAGTTCAAACTTTGTGTCCAGAAAAAACCCCCTCACCTCATCATGTAACTCAAACAGGCGTGTGCGTCAATTTTTTTCTTTTTTGTTTGACTGGGGAAAGCTCACTTGTCAATTCACCATCTGTCTCTTAACTCTCTTTCCTCTTAAATCTTCCTGTTGCTAACCAGCTCTCCATTTTGATTCTCCAGTTTTTGCCATGGATGTCATCTTTTAGTGCACAATCAGACTGAGTCAGCAAACAAGAACAGGTGGGGTCCGCCGGCAAAGTGGTCTGATCAGACAACATTAAAGCTCCTATCATTGGTTCATCACCGGGAAAAACAAAACAGAAATACCAAAAACAAATCAAAACACAACAAAACAAAAACAATGAAAGGAGTTTTTGAAAAATGTTTTTAAAGATCACTGTGTGAAAACATTTAAAAACAGTTTTTATAGTTTAATTTTTCTCTAATCATACTTTTTTACCAGAACTGTACTGTTTCGCAAATGACTTGGCGGCCAACTTGCAATCCCTTCACAGGTTGGGAATCACTGGTCTAAAACTTAGTCAGACAGGTTAACCTGTCAACCACACATCTCCAGTCAGTGTGTTTCCATGGTAAAAGTAGCTCTTACTGAGGAGCGATGAACATACAGCTACATTCGGATGAATACAGACCATAGTTAAGAGTTTTTCTACAATTTTCCATGAAAGTGTCTGTGATTGTTAAATCTTCAGTAGTTTTCTGCTGGCGTGAACAGACACTGTGATTCATCCGAAGCAGCTGACTCTGCCCGACTCATCCAAAAGTGGGCACAGAGGTGGGGCGCGTGTGGGAGCTGAGACTTCAGTGCATGAAGGTTTGTGGCAAGGCATATGCTCACCCACCTGTCACTCAAAGAGGCCACGCCCTCAATTCTACTTAACTTTAATATTTAATAAAATGTAAACTGGTGAGTTATATAAACAATTGTCATGAAGGGGGAAATTAGCTATATATATTAAAAAATATATATACACACAATAAACACAACACACACATTATCTGTGCTCTGACTCCTCTGACCTTTGACCTCCTGGGTGAGCAGTGGCAGATGACAGTGACAGCAGCTCATTGTGTGACGGTGTGTATGAGTGTGTGTCCATGATGGAGACATCCACAGAGGAAGTGAGGTCAGTGAGAGAGAAACACACCTTTACTCGCAGCTCCATTATTCTCGTTGCTTCCCAGTGATGAAGAGCTGAGGTTTGTGAATAATCCCTTTACAGGAAGTTTTGACGCAGTGGGTGGGGCAGGTCGCCCAGCCGACACCCCTGCCGGCTGCTGATTGGCTGTTGGCTTGGAGATGAAGGTTGGGAGAAAGGGGGAAGTGGTGGTGCGAGTTTTGGGAAGACCTGGGGGGGGGGGGACAAAGAATACAAAATAATTGAATTAGCTTTATACATCATTACAGACAAAACAGGAATTAAACCTGGTCTAAGGGGCCCCGGGTCAGACTCAAACCCATGGCCACTGCGGTTAGGACTAAGCCCATGTGTTATACACTCTACCAGGTTAGCCACTGAGGCGCCCCCCTGTTAACATTCCTCCATCCATCCATAAATGCGTCCTCAATGTGTCTTGGGTACGTTCACACCTGAACTTAAAGCTGACCACCTGTGATCCGATCACCTGAGACGGATGTTAATACCAGGTCTAAACAGGGTCTTAGTGTCTGTGTTGACAGTAAGGATGTACAGCCTGATCTCCAGCTGAGCACGGGGGTGGGGTGGGGTGGGCCCTGCTGATCCTCACTACATTAGAACTTCAGAGGAGTCCCACTCTCTACAGACACATTTTCTCCTCATCATTTACACACACTCACTATTGTTCATTTCATATATTTTAGGTTTGTTATTTAGCTGCTCTGCTACATTCTGTTACACAACAACCACATTTACCTTCAATAAAGTTTAATTCAAATTTTCACACACCTTTCGACAAACATGAGTCCTGAGGGGGAGGGGAGGAAATAGAGTTTATACATGCTCACAACACACACACACAGACACACACACACACACAGGTAGACTGAAGCCAGCAGGAAACATCTGGATTCATTTGGTTCTAGTTGTCATGACGGAGCAGCTGGATTGCGTTCCCTCAGAGCTCAATGTTAGGTAAGAGCTGGCTCACTGTAGTTCTGCCTTGTGCTCACTGTTGAAACACACAAACACACATGTACACACAACTGTGTGGCCGCACCAGTGTGGAGAGTGTAGTGCCTATGGTAACATCCCTGCAGGAGTCAGAGGAGGAGGGAGGAGAGCTGGGTCCAGGAAGCAGACTGATGGAGAAGAGTGAACCTCTCTTCTATCATCATGACGACATGAGATCACCGGACGGGCTAACAGCCTGGTGAGGAGTCAGAGGGACTTCAGTCAGTGTAGTGTGGTGTTTCACAGAGACATAGCTACAGGAAGTCACTCCAGATCCCACCACCCACGGCCTTCAAACAGACAGTTCAGTGTCGGAGCTGCAGGAACGTGTCACCCTGTTAGCCATGAGGTTACGTCCATGAAACATAACCATGAGCTCTCACACAACATCTTGGTTGTTGCAGTAAAGGTTCCAGAGAGCACAGTGGCCTCCATCATTCTTACATGAAGAAGTCTGGAACAACCAGGACTCTTTCTGGAGCTAGACCTGGACTAACTGAGACATCAGGGAGAAGAGAGGAGACCAAGAACCTGATGGTGACTCTGAGCTCTAGAGAAACTTCCAGAAGAACAACCATCACTGCAGCTCTCCACTGATCTGGGCTTTATCAGGGGCAGTTTGTAAACAAGCAGCTACAGGACTCTGAGACTGAGAGAAACAAGATTCTCTGGTCTGATGAGACCAGGACTGAACTGTTTGGTCTCATTTCTAAGAGTCATGTCTGGAGGAAAGCAGGCACCATTCATCACCTGCCCAACACCATCCCTACAAGTGAAGCATGGTGGAGGCAGCATCAGGTTGTGGGGGACACGGACACTGGTCAGGACTGAGAGGAAGCACAGAGACATCCTTAATGAAAACCTGGTCCAGAGCTCAGGACCTCAGACTGGGCTGAAGGTTCACCTTCCAACAGCACAATGACCCGGAACTCACAGCCAAGACAGGCTTAGAGACAACTCTGTGAAGCCTGACCTGAACCCAATCCAACATTTGGTGAGACCTGAACATGTCCGTCCACTGATGGTCCACATCCAAGCTGACAGAGTCTGAGAGGATCTGCAGAGAACAAGACTGGAGGCTGTGATCACTGACAAAGGTGCTTCAACTAAGTCCTGAGTGAAGAGTCTGAACACTTCTGTCAATGTGATATTGATATATGTTTAATACATTTGTATAAATGCATAACCTTCTGTTTTCTCTTTGTCTTTCTGGGGTCGCTCCATGACTGAAATCAGTTTTATAACCGTACATATAGAACATGGAGTTATCAGTTCCTCTGTTGAGTGTCTGCTCTCAGAGCTCACGTCTCTCTCAGGCCTGAATCCCTGTCAGTCTTCGTCCTCATGATATTAGCCCTCTATCTACAATGATAAAGTCATGTGTAACATACAGAGTGCTGAGCCTTACATACTCCACTAACAAACACAACACTGGACTTTACCTCAGAGTCTAAACACAAACTAGTGCAGCAAACAGGAGACAACCACAGGCTGCAGAGTCAGAGACAGTAACATGTGATGTCACCTGAACAGGTACCGACCTGACAGAAAGACCCGAACCCTCAGCAACACATGAACAAATGAACACATGAACACAGCAACACATTCACTCAGCCTGGAAAAGATTTGTACTGAAGTGATCAAAACACAAAGGACGGATGGAGGTCTGAGGTCCAGAGGACAGACCAGCTTCTGTCCATCAGAATGTGACCTTTACACACACACACACACACACACACACACACACGCACACACACACACACACACACACACACACACACACACACACAACTACAGGCCACTGGACAGCAGGCAGGGGACACCATGTTTAAGTTGAGTGTTTGTCACATCAGAAGAATACACTATATTTACTAACACACACACACACACAGAGCGACAGCCAGCAAACACACTTGAGGTGAAACAGAAAGGGGATGAAAAGAACGAAAAGGAGAGAATGATGAAAGTAAAGTCATGTGACCATGTGTTGTTAAACTTCCTGTCAACAAACAGGAAGTGCAGTGAAATTATTCTGCTCCAGAGGCTGAAAGGTTTAAAGAAATACAGTTCTGCAACATCACAGCTGACACACACACACACACACACACACACACACACACACACACACACACACACACACACATATAGATAGTAACATGCCTGTCTGTCAGCAACTTGCTGACTGTATGTGACAAAGTATGGACAGTGTGTGCTGGGACCTGCACTAAGTGTGTATGAGAGTGAGTGAGTGAGTGTGTGTGTGTGTGTGTGTGTGTGTGTGTGTGTGTGTGTGTGGTGTAGTGGTATGTGGAAGGCATTTTAACTCACAGCTCTGCAGTGTCAGCCTGCTCATTTCCTGAGTCTGCTGCAGAGACAAAGCAGAGTTTTCTTCCATCACACACACACACACACACACACACACAACAACACACACACACACACACACACACTCTTATACAGTCATGTGCAGCATGCTGTTGTGTGTTTACATCAAGTAAATGTTTCTGTAGTGAACCAGGTTGTGTCCACGTCTCCACAGACAGACAGCGTGTCTTTACACACACAGACACACACACTGTGTCTCTCCACACACAGACACACACTGTAATAACTCACCGAAGCTCTGACTCTGGAGCTGCCTCACTTTGGTTGGAGATCCTCCCCCAGCGCTCTGTCCAACGTCTCCCAACATGGAGCCTTCAATTGGGGTTTGCCTGAGCCCAGGGCTCCCATGTCCTGGAGGTCCGGCCCCTGAGCCCGGAGGTGGAGCTGATCCAGAGACCGCTCTGATGCTTCTCCCCTGCTGCCTGACACCAGGCCCCAGCTTGGAGGAGACTTTCTGTAGAAAGAGCTGACGTTTAGTGACGGCGTCCCAGCCGAGGGGCCCCAGCTCGGAGCTGCGCACTGAGACCATGGTGTTAGCCATTCCCCACTCAGAGTCAAAAATGTGGACTGAGGGAAGTGAGGAAGGCGGTGAAGGAACAGATGGGAGGAGTGAGCATGTGTTCAGACAGAGGGGGAGGAAAAAAAGAGAGAGCAGGAAAGAGAGGGAGGAGGGAAAACTGGGAGTGTGCTATAACCACCAGAGGGTAAAAAAAGTTTCTATTGTGTTCTACATTCCCCTCGAGAACCCCGGCTCTGACCAAGCCAAGGTTTTTCTCTCCGTCTTCACCCACTCCACCCCACCCCCCCTATAAACACCAGCACACATGGAGTGAGTTTGTGGATGAGGGTCTGGATCCTGTCTCAGTGTTTTCAGAGGAAACACTCAGCTCAGAGAAACTGTTCAGGGAGCTGGAGAGGTGAGGAGGCTCATTCAATACATGTTCGGATTAAATCGCTGATGTGTTTTCATTCAAAAAAGAAACCTTCTGTCCAGTCACCCTCACCTCCTCACCCCAACACGCTGAGCTGGTTCAGAGATGAGACACCCCAGAGTCACTGGTATCTCTCAGTGTGCTCGCCCTCTCAGCTGAGCCAAGAAGCTGAGCTCATGGATTAATGTAACTCACCAATAACTCTAAATCACATGTTGACACGCTCAGCTGGCAGATCAGCTGACTGAGGCTCTGTCATTAAATGATGCTGGGTGTATGGTGAAAATGAATGCACACGTGCAACATCTTTAACGCAGATCTTCAGAAAATTGAATCTCATCATCTGAACACGTGACTCATCACATAGTGAGCCACCACTGATGTCCAGCTGTGCATGATCGTGCACCATAACATGTCTAATTAGCTTTCACTTTGAATTGTCACTGAACTGCTTTACCTGATCTCCTTCACTTATTCAATAGATGTGGTACTTAGTACTTACACCAAGGACTGATCACAGACAGCCTGTGTCACTCTTTACAGTGACCCTCTAGTAAACAGAGGATAGATGAACCCTGATGAACCCTGAAGAACAACACAAGAAACAGAGGCTCTTATTTTGAAACGATATAGGTGTGTGTGTTTGTGTGTGCGTGTGTGTGTGTCACAGCTGAGTGTTTTAAACACACCTTGAGCTGAGACAACCCCTGAGGCTGCCTGCAGGTTTTAAACCTGTCACCGACTCACATACCAGAGGCACCACCACTCCCTCATCTATAACACTGTGTACTCTTTAAACTACACTGGTATGAAAAACACAAAAGCACAACAACACAGCTCCGGGCTTCAGATAATTAAAGCTATTTGACGGACGGCTGATTAGTGTCTGTTACTTCATCAGTTATTCCGGTCTCTTGAATTATACTTGTTGCGTAACTTGAATCTGAAGCCAGAACTGTTTGTGGATTCTCATAATGAGACATTTAACCGTCAACAGGAGCATGAGGCTGAGACGCCCAGGTCAAAGAAACGTGAACATGCTTGTAGTTCTCACCCTGCTCTGACTCCTTGGTTTCTCCGTCGAGGCCTCTGTTAGTCCCGCCTCTCCAGCGCCCCCCCTCAGGATCTCCACCGACTCTTCACCAGCATCTTCACTTTGTCGTGCTGTCTCCACACTCTCAGCTGTTCTGTGTGTCTCAGGCACCTCCTGGACAGCCTTCGAGGGAGGCTCCAGGGGTCCGTCCTCGGCCTCCTCACACCCCAAAGATCCGGTGGAAGCAGAGAGTGTTTGACTGACAGCCACACTGCTCTTCTCTGGCTGGTTGGTTCTGAGGCTACTGCTCTTTCCTCTGATGGGCTTCAGCACCACAGACACTTTAACTGGATCTGCAGATGACCTTTGACCTTTACCCTCATCCCCGGTCTGTGCTCCCTCCTTCCTAGGAGCAGCTTTCTTTCCATTAGCTGGAGCAGATTTGTTCTGTAGAAGAGAGATATCAAGTGTTAGACGGAACATGGCTGTACAGTACTGAGCTATGTTTCAATCAAACTACAGTACTACAGTATATTACTAATGTATACTACAGCACCACAATACTACAGTCCTACAGTACTACAGTATACTATTGTACTACAGTATTACAGTATACTATTGCACTACGGTTCTACAATGCTACAGTATACTACAGTACTACAGTACCTGGGTGAGGGTTTTAGGTGGGGTTGAGGTGGACCTTGATCTGACTTTAGCCTTGATGTTTTTCAGGTCTGCTTTAGAAACTCTCTTTGCTTCCAGACCGGCTGGTTTGATGGCAGCGGGGTTGGTCGACTTGGTGGTGGTTGGTTTGGTCTTTGCTGCTCTTGCAGGTGGACTGGTGTTAGGCTGGGGGGGTCTGGAGCCCACTGCACACCTCTCAGCCTCCTCAGGTGACGTGGCTTCCTTAGACTCTTGTGCTGGATTTGTAGAAGATAATGATGAGTGGGTGTTTTCACTTAGGTCCTCAGTAGCAGCAGGTTCTGTCTGGCTGTCCACAGGTGGATCCAGAGAACTGTCAACCTCTGGCCCCTGTAACACTGACTCAGGCCCCTGTAACACGGCCCCTGTAACACTGACTCAGGCCCCTGTAACACTGGCTCAGGCCCCTGTAACACTGGCTCAGGCCCCTGTAACACCGGCTCTGGCCCCTCTGACACTGGCTCAGGCCCCTGTAACCCCGGCTCAGGCCCCTGTAACACCGGCTCAGGCCCCTGTAACACCGGCTCTGGCCCCTCTGACACTGGCTCAGGCCCCTGTAACACCGGCTCAGGCCCCTGTAACACCGGCTCAGGCCCCTGTAACACCGGCTCTGGCCCCTCTGACACCGGCTCAGGCCCCTGTAACACCGGCTCAGGCCCCTCTGACACCGGCTCTGGCCCCTGTAACACCGGCTCTGGCCCCTGTAACACCGGCTCTGGCCCCTCTGACACCGGCTCTGGCCCCTGTAACACCGGCTCTGGCCCCTCTGACACCGGCTCTGGCCCCTGTAACACCGGCTCTGGCCCCTCTGACACCGGCTCTGGCCCCTGTAACACCGGCTCTGGCCCCTCTGACACCGGCTCTGGCCCCTGTAACACCGGCTCTGGCCCCTCTGACACCGGCTCTGGCCCCTGTAACACCGGCTCTGGCCCCTCTGACACCGGCTCTGGCCCCTGTAACACCGGCTCTGGCCCCTGTAACACCGGCTCTGGCCCCTCTGACACCGGCTCAGGCCCCTCATCGTCAGCCACAGGTCGCTCTGTCTGGATCTCAGTCATGGCAGCAGAGTCACCTGCGATCATGAGGCTGGTGCTGGCTTGACTTGTTGAGCTGATGAGGGTCACGCTGCTTCTCCGGACAGCCATGTCAGAACTCACAGACAGAAACAAAGCCTCCTCTTCATCATCATCGTCACCAGGGATTTCTGTTGCGTCCGAGTCTGGAGTGGAGGAGCCGTGCTTTCTTCCACTTCGACTGCTGAGGTCATCATTGTTGCCACAGTGACAGCTGTTTGTCGTCAGGGCCAGAGTCAGGTTGTTATTATCGTTCCAGGTGTCTTGGCAGTATTCGCCGCTGTTGGCGTCCAGGTACACAGACACAGAGTTGTCATTGGACTCTGACAGCTCCTTCGCCATTTGTATCTTTCCCACCGAGACGTCACCATTGTCACCGGCGCCGCCGTCCTCCTTCGGCCACACAGCGTCTGTGAGTTTGTCTGTTTTGGTCATCACCATCGTCATCAGGGTGACCTCAAACATGTCATAGTCCAGCGGGCTGTCGGTTCGGCCCCCACTGAGGCTGCTCAGACTCCGCAGTGACTCAGGAGACAACTCCCCCAGACAGGAAGAGGAGGAGGAGGACGAGGAAGAGGAAATGGAGAAAGCATTCCCGTTGTGATCTCCTGCACTGTGAAGAGGGAGCCTCATGCTGGATCCAGCTGTCCCCCTGACAGGGAGGGTCTCACTGGGCTCAGAAACACTCATGTCTGGTCCGGCGGGGCAGCAGGTAGAGAGAGACCAATGAGCAGAGTTTCAATCCTCTTTATTCTCTCTGTACTGACATTTAATACAACATTCATCCTCCATCAGGCTGTGCATTTCTACATCTGTGCTTTCATGATGTCTTCAGTGAGTCATGGAGCTGCAGTCCGTCCGGTTACTACTGCACAAACGTTACTTCCAAAAGAGCTGGAGCTCCTCATGTCCTGGTTCAGAACTGTAGGAAACCATCCATTTATCAGCCACGTCTTCCACACCTTCGAGACGAAAGAAAAATGAAGACGAAGAAAACACCTGAAACACAGAGAGGAGACAGAAAATTCAATGATGAAACCTGCAAGCTTGATAAAAACAAAGACGTAACTGAATCCATCAAATCAATGGAATTGGTTTCAGGTCTAAATAACTAGGCTGTTTCCTGTCAAACATGGCAAACGACAACAATACTGAAGGAAACCCAGAGTCTCAGTGGTCACATTAAAGAAGCAGAGAACATCACACTTTATTTTGCACCAGGTTAATTTAACTTTGCCAAATTTGCCAAATAAATGACATTTGGATGAAACACAAAAAGGTGTTGAAACGTTACATGAGATCTCTAAGTAACGACATTATTATTTTACTCTTTATTTCCTATGTTGGTCCTGTTAAACCACTGCAAACAACCCAGGGGCTGTACACTGATGGTAAAGAGTTGAGAAATGCTGCCCTCTGCAGGCTGATTTTGTTGCTGACCACAATGACAGGAATGACAACACACACACACACACACACACACACACACACACACACACACACACACACTGTTACACTGATAAACAGAGAAGAAGTGTCAGAGCGGAGCCTCAGACTCTACATACAGATGAATTTATCATGATAAACTCAACGTCTGTCTTAGTGTCGGTGATGCAGCTCCGTTAAAGTGCCTCACACCTACAGGCAATTTTAGAGTCGCCTAAAATGCGTGTTTTTGGACTGTGGGAGGAAGAAAAGAAAGACGGGACAAGTAGCTCTTGAGAGACTTTCCATCTTAGATAGTAGGACCTTTCCAAATACAGTTGTGTCCCTCTGTAATCATGAGTTCAAATTTTTTTTACATTTGTCAATATTCTTATGAACATTTTCCTTCTCCCCTTATTTCTTTATTTCTGGTGACAGTGATGCCCAAGTATTTGATTTCTGATTTATTTATTGATGTTTACTTTCATGTCTGCTGCATTTGCAGTATTCTTTTCCCCATCCTCTATCCGCTTTGCTCTTGATCTCACAAATGCACCCTGGGCCCTTTTAAGACAGATCCTATCTAATTTGGATTGCAATGTCATTTATTATTTCTCTTATCTTTGTGCAGTATTCCTTATTTTTTTGAGTTAAATTAGAGTTAAATTTCCAGTAGCCTTTGCTTATACCCAGTTTATTGACAGAATTTTATTTCATTTCTGTTATACAATGATCGGTTAATGGGGCTTAGGAAATGGAGGTCTCTGAGACAAGCTCCATTACCGAAACAGCAGCAAGCCAGAAATCAATTCTGGACTTACAGGCACCATTAGGATTTCACCAGGGGTATTGCTTTTTCCCTGGATTTAAACTACCAGGCAATTCCTACTAATAATACATTTTCCAATTGTATGATTGTGATGATAACTTTCAACTTTTGAGGGCCACCTATATTCCCATTCATCTTGTGTCATATTTAGGCATGGTAATTGAGAACCGTAGGTCCTATCCTATGTTAACATTAATGCATGCAGGCCAGGCTTAACAACAGATTCTTTATTTGACTTAAGACCTAAATGAAAACGAATGCTGTACAACTATTCTCTCATTTGATCCATTTTAGATGATGGCGGTGGTGGACCGAGGACTGTGGTGGCACCATCACTGTCCTAAAGGCCTTCTTTTTTCCACACAGAAAATCGGTTATAAGCAGAATCGATAATGGCATTGGTATCAATATAATCTTATCAATTCCCATCCCTAGTCATATTCCAGTCACCCCCCCGTTACAATAAAGTCTGTCGGGTAGAGTGGTCTGAGCTCTGATACCGCATTAGTGATGTTTTCCAACATTTGTTTGTTATGGGCAGAAGTTCTATGACCATAAACATTAACTACTGTAATATGAATAAATGACTTTCAACTTTCAAGACTTTCTTCTTGCCTTTCTATCCTCCAGCGGCAGCACTTCCGCGAAGCGTACGCCTCTCTCCTCGCACACACAGGTGAATCCTTCCTCCTTGACAGATCACCGGGCAAATAATACGACTATGTGTCTGTTCCTGTTGTCCTCCTTTCAGCTGACTCTGTGTACAATGTCTTATGGCTTCTTCAAGCTGCCACATTTCCACCTCGGGGTGATCTTGTTAAGAAGTTTCACAACGTCTGCTGTGATGTTTTCCTCACTCTTCTCTGTCAGACCTTTAAGTTTCTGACACCTTCGCATCTTATATCTTTCCTGCTCCCTGATTCTTCACTTCAGCTCCTTATTTTCTTTACCAAGGTGCTCAATGTACTTTTCCTTCACGTTGATTTTTTTTTCTTGCAATCCCTAACTTCTTCAGCATTGAAGTGGACTGCTTTGGTTAAACTAGCAATCATGCAGCTACTCTGTTTAGCTTGTTTCCTAAGTTGTACCGGTTGTCATTATCATCAAAGTTATTTTCCACGCTTTGAATGGCGTCCAGAATGTTCAGGTTAGAGACCTCTTCCTTCTCTGCTCCTACTTTAGTTTTCTTACCGAGCGGAATCTTGCACAGAGTTGTGGGAGCAGAGTCTTTCCTTTCGTAAGCCAAGCTAACTTCCACAGCATAGTCATGATCGTCGGCCCACTCCACCTTATCTGCCTCCTGGACGGTTTGATCATACTTTAGTTTTCCATTTTGAACGGTCGGAGTGCTTCTAGTCAAGTGCTGATTCAAATTTGGGACAAGTTTGCCACATCCTCTGCTTTGAGTTACTGCTCAACACGCCATCTTGCCGGAAATCCTAACTCTTGCTCTCTGTACTGACAAGGTTTCAGGTTCATTTAGCCCGCCCCCCGTCCCCACAAGCTTACAGGATTGGTTCATTCGGTTTGTGATGTATGAAACCCTGGCTGTCTGAATCTGTTTTTATGAGACTGTCATTGGTTCAATGGTGTTGACTGATTATTTCACTCATCATATTATAAAAAAAACATCATATGGATGTTAACAAGAGCCTCTCATTTTCATCAGACGGTCTTTGAGTGTTGACTGATTACATCATGATGACATCATCAGTTTAAGTCTCAATGCTCTGATTTTCATCTTTGGCAGAAAGATTTCAAAAGAAAGTGGAGAAAATGTGACTGACGCCTGCTGCGTGCGTGTGTGCGTGCGTGCGTGCGTGTTTGTGTATGTGGGTCAGGGTTAGAGAAAAGAAAGGAGCAGCTATATAAAGGCGATCAGATCCAGGACACAGCTCCATCTCAGTTCTCCAGTGACAACAGCAGGGCCCTGGGCGGCTCAGGTGACTCACTCAGGAAACCAACACCTCACTGACACAGGATATCTGGATCTGTGTTTTTAGACAGGTAGAATTACCTGCAACGCACCAGAGAGGTGACATCATCATTTATAAACATACAGTACCTCTGTGTGTGCATCATCAGGATTTACAGTCACATTCTGAAGTCACGTGTGATATGAAAGTCTCCTGCTCCATAAAACAAGTGTAGAAGTTCTCACAGTGACATTTAGCATGAACAGTCACAGTCTGACAGTCACACTGATTCATAATGAATGAGCGAATCCACAGCTCGCAGAATCCAGCTTGAAGATCCAATCAAAGCCACTAAAGCGTATGTCATGAAGAGAGCTAATAAAAACAAATCAAATGGTCAACATTGTCATATTGACATTTAAGTTTATGTAAGATATTGATGGATTTCCAAACGTCAATCATGCCTATCCAAGAAAAACTGATGTTGTAACAGAAATATCTCTGACTGAATCAATATTGAATTGATTCGGGAATCGAATCCAATCGGGAGCCCTACAGAACACGCATTCATGTGGAGCTAAATGAGTTCAGTCCAGTTTCCTCCACAGTGTCAATACCTTCACACACCTGAGTCACCACCGACTGTGGATGCTGCAGAGACACAACGGTGACGTTTACATGGTTTGTTGCAGGAAGTTAGTGAACATAGTTATGTCCTGTTATTTCAGGGCAGTAAGAAGAAAGTAAAAGCTCCCGGGTGAGTTGGGTTGTTTCATCCAAGAGTAACAAGACTGGTCCATGACCATCAGCAGTCACACCCTCCTCCTGATGACAGCTCCTGTCATGTTGGTTTACATGTTCTCATCTGTGACTCTGGAGCAGACAAATGAATCTTAATGATCCATTCCAACAACGGAGAGAACGACTGTCCCACATTACAATCAGGCAGAGTGAGCAGCCCCGCTCTCTGACTGGACCCTGCTCAGCCCTGCACCCTCCAAACATCTCATCCACTCCTGTTACAATCAGCTTCACCGTCGGGTCCTGGGGCCCGCTGTCAGTGAAGTGAATAACAGGGCTAATCCTCAGCCGTGGGACCCTGCTATGCATCAAGACATGCTTGTCAAGCAGGTTACACCAGAGCTGGATGAAGAGGACGAGGAGGAGATGAAGAGGAGGAGAGTGACACCAGTGAACATGAGATTAAAGAGGTGCTGTTCAGCAATTACAACAGGAGGCCTAATAAACAGGGGTGAGCACATGAATCAGCTGATTTCACGTTCCCTGAGCAGAGCAGCTTCTCATGAAGACTGAACCAGGTCAATGTGGATCCACATCACACTGTGGTGGTTTGTAAAGACTGATCCATGCTCAGAAACAAATCCACAACACAGCGATTTTTACATTCACATATTCACTAGAGGTCAAAGGTGACACCTCAGTGATTCTGCCTGATGTCATCCTTTAACCTGTAACCTTTGGAAAGTCCTGCCCTCCGATCAGGGACTTTTTTGGGGGTC